GAACTACATCATGAACTACACCTTTCTCTGTAGCTGTGAGGTGTCAGGCTACAATATTGTGCTTGATGCATGTGCACTGTTATAAAGAACTTGTAAGAGTTACATGAAAAATTCCTCAAAACAGTTTGCACTAATGTTTAAGTAAATTTAAATGCTACAAATTCAAGTAATATTTACTCATCATTATCTAGTAAAAGTTACTAAGAATGTAGTTAAAGACTTGTGAATAAATCGGGTACATTTTACTTAATTTGAGCACTAATGTTTAAGTAAATTTAAATGCTACAAATTCATATAATATTTACTCATCATTATCTAGTAAAAGTTACTAAGAATGTAGTTAAAGATTTGTGAATAAATCGGGTACATTTTACTTAATTTGATCAAGTATATGTTACAAGATTTAATTGAGCAAATTAAGTACAATTTACCTGATTTATTCACAAATCTTTAACCATATTCTTAATAACCTTTACTAGACAATAATGAGTAAATATTACTTGAATCGCGTTTAAATTTACTTAACAAACGTTATTGTTACGAGTATTTTTTTCAAATAAATCTTACAAGTTATTTTTTTCAGTGTAGAGCTACACGATTGCTGGACACTAACCTGGAGTCATCGCATGACGTGTCATTATTTTCGGATTGATCCGCTCACCCCCACCTCACAGGTGTAACAGTCTGAAGAAATGCAACATGAAGYGTTCAGACTGCAGTCTGTTTGAAAAACATCAGATATGTATCTGATTCAGTACCACATACTGGGTCTGATTTGACAAATTGGATTTGTCACATTGAGACTGTAATGAAAAAAGTTTGATTTGGGTCACATAGAGACAAACATATCGGGGTGTTATTTGCCTGCAATGTGAATGAGCCTAAGATTGTGTGCACAAATCATAACAGGTGCAAAAGTAGTGCAGACCRCCCTATTATATGGGGATTTTGTGTGTGCTACTGGCTGTTTTGCATCTATATTAAGAAAATGATCCAGAGACACAAGAAAATTCTGTTTTTCAAGATTTTTTTCCACAGGAGATTTGGCAAGACTTCTATTTGAGAATGTGTCCAAATACCATACATGTCAATCCCTTTGGACATTTACCTGTTTACCTTTGGAAATCCATAAAGTCCACAAACAATCCATAGTACTCTCACAGGATACAACAGGCTGGGTGTGGAGGGTCCGCATGTACAAAAACTTCACCTGCCTTTTAAACGTGCTAAACATAAGACGCAAACACAATCTGTTTCTGTTTTGGTAAATCGCATTACGGATGCTGAAAAAAAGGAAATTTGCATATCYTCATATCAACACTTTGTGGATCCTGGTAATCATCATTATTCAGAATTATATAAATATTCATGAAGTCAAACACACTTAATGGATTGTGCCTCGTATTTTGCTCATTTGACAGACTCTATCATTGGTGCACATGGTTAGAGCAGCTTTGCGATCAAGTTTGCACGTCTTTTTAGACACTGTAGCCTTTAGTAAATCAGGACAGATTGTTGTGCATATTTGTAAAAGTTTATGTTTGAATTAAAACCAGTTTCAGCTCTAGACTGAAGTCTAACTGACCTGTTGTGTCTCAGGTAATCGGGATGTCTCTAGCCTGCTGTTTGTCTCACTTCATCAGCACCAATCAGTACGAGATGGTCTGACAGGCAAGTCTAATATGTTTCATTCCTATAAAGAAAAATCACTTTAATTCATTTCTACAAACTAAACCATCACTGAAATCCCACCTAACCTTTAACTGTTTCAGTAATCTGGTTTTCCCTTAAAGACCTCCTGTGGTCTGACATCTGTATGCTGTGTTTTTGTCTCTTTCAGAAAACTACAGGATGTACAGCACCATGGAAACCTGCACAAACAGATTATTGTAGGTTTTTTTTTTTTTTTTTTTTTTGTTTACTTGGTGTTTTGGTAAAAGAGGCAACATTCTTTTTTCCTTTCACTTTACGGTTTCTGAGTGTAGTTTACCTGTAAATCCAGCAGGAGGTGCTAACTTCTGATTGTTTTGTTCATGGTTACATTMTGTGATGAAGAAAGTTGTAGTCTGTATTTTAATGTGTAATAAAACACAGTTCACCGCTGTGTTAAAAAAATAAAGGTTTAGTTGTGTCGATTAAAAACACCAAATGTGAATGGAACAGACGGCAAATGTCACACAAAATTGACATAATTATTCAGTCTAATCAAACTAATAAAATTTAATTTTCTTCAAAAGATGTTGTGAGGACCAAGAGCTAAATGATTGCTGAAAATAGCTGAAAAAGCTGAAACAAAGTGCTTAAAGCTAAACTAACACTAGCTAAAAGTGGTAAAACAAGAGACAGAATAAACAAAATGCTAGTCTAAATTAAAGCCAGGAGTTAAAGAGTTTAAAGAGAACAATAATTCTGAAGGAATTAAAGACATTTTTACTGGAAGCCGAGAGCGGACGTTTTCTGCTTATAATTATTTTCCAATATCACTAGACTTCACCAAAGTCTAGTGATAACGATGTCATTATCACTAGAAAACCATTGGAAAATACTTATATGCAGAAAACGTCCGCTCTAGGCTTCCGTATACATTTTCATGTACTTATAAGGAGAAAGTATTTATAAAGTAACGTATTTTATAACATGGCATTATAATATGGCATAAAATTTACAGAAACCCCAAGTCACAGCACCCACCTACTGTAAAAAATGAATATTTTTATAGATGAGTGGATAATAGCTATACAAAAAGACAGACAGATAACTTAGATGATCACACAACTCTGAAAAAAATGAAGAGACCACTTTAAAATGATCAGTTTCTATGATTTTAATTTTTATATGTGTATATTTGAGTAAAATGAACATTATTATTTTATTCTGTGAACTACTGACAACATGTGTCTGAAATTCCAAGCAAAATTTTAGTGTTTATTTGCAGAAAATGAGAAATGCTCAAACTGAAAACAAAGATGCAGTGCTTTCAGCCTTTAAATAATGCACAGAAAACAAGTTTATATTCATTTAGAAACAACACTAATGTTTTAATTCAGGAAGAGTTCAGAAATCAATATTTGGTGGCATGCTTTCAACCAAAT